TTGCTCTTTTTCTTTCCTTCCTTCCTTTCTTCCTCCTTTCTTTCCTTTCCTTCCGTCCTTCTTCTTTCTCTTTCTTTCTTTCTTTCTTTCTTTCTCTTTTTTTGTAAAGATTTTATTGGGGAATTGGGAGAGGGGAACAGTGTTGGGGAATCAGGAAAGGAAAACAGACAAGTTGCTGTCCTTTTGTTCTTCAGTCTAGTTGTGAAGGACGTTGTTTCACTGGCCCATGTTGGTATTATCATTGCACTCTTCCCAGGTGAGGCAATCGGTCACTGGCCATTGGACGGCGGCTCACGGCAGCTCACGAAAGCTCATGCCCACTGCCGGCCAGCCCCACTGCAGCCTACACCTTGCCGGTGACTCATGGCAGCCCAGCTCCAGGTCGAGCTGTTGTTCACCATCTTAGCTGTAGAGGGCGCAGTGTCACTGGCCCTCATGTGGCATCTGAACCGGGGCCCTGCTGCTCAGAGCTGGTGTCCCAAGTCAACGCCTAACCAACGCGCCACTCGGCCAGCCCATCCAACTCTTACTGTTGAGCCAGACTTCTTAATGTTTATTTCCCTGGTTTTAATTGTGGCCCTAATTTGCATTTCCCTGGTTACTAATTAATCTGTGTACCTTTTCATAAATGTATTTGCTATTTGTGCTCTATAAAATGTATGTTCTTGTCTTTTGCCCATTTTTCCCTTGGATTAGTGGTGTTTTTCTGATTCACTTGTGGGACTGTCATGTTTTCCATATAATATTTCCTTGGCATTATATGTGTTATAATTATTTTCTCCCAATTAGTGACTTGATTTTTCACATTCTTTATGGCACCTTTTGAAGGTCATAAGTTCTTTTTAGTTTTTAGGGGGGAACAGTGTGATTTTTTAGGACTCATCAGCTCCAAGTCAAGTAGTTGTTTCAATCTAGTTTTGGAGGGTGCAACTCAGTGGTCCATGTGGGGATTAAACTGGCAACCTTGGTATTATGAGCACTGTGCTCTCACCAACTGAGTTAACCAGCCACCCCAAAGATCATAAGTTCTTTAGAGTAGAACTTAAGTTCTTAATTGTGGAATTTTCTAACCTTTTCTCTATGGTTAATGCTTGTTTATGTAATTACTCGTTGCCCCATACATTGAAAGATATTATCTTTCATTGCCTTCTAAAAGATTTATAATTTTTCTCTCTTTAAGATTTTAATGTTTCCAGAATAGATTTTTTTGTGTGGTATGATGAAGGGATATGATTTAATTTTCTTCCCTATGAATAATGCCAGCATACCATTTATTGAATAATCTCTCCTTTTCTTGAGAGTCTGCACTGCCCAGTCATAAATAAATTTTCCAAACATGCATGGATCTGTTTGTGAGTTCTCTATTCTGTCCCATTAGTCATTTTGTTTATTCCTATCATACTATGCTATCATCATACTGCTTTAATTAAATATCTTCATATCTGATAAAGAGCAGCACACGTATTTTTCTTTTTCATCAAGAATATCTGGGCTTGGACTGGCCAAGTGGCGCATTGGTTAAGAGTTGTCTTGGGAGAACAAGCTCTGAGCAGCAGGGCCACCTGTTCGGTTCCCACATAGGCCACTGACACTGCGCCCTCTACAGCTAAGATGGTGAACAACAGCTTGACCTGGAGCTGGGCTGCGGTGAGCCGCTGTGAGCGGCCGTCCAATGGCCAGCGACTGATCTGCCTCACCCGGGAAGAGCGCAATGATAATACCAACTTGGGCCAGTGAAGCAACGTCCTCCACAACTAGACTGAAGAACAA